AAGAATACCTTGTTGGGAGGCCCTATTATAGTGTGGACGAATTCTACCAAGGCTCTATCGAATAATTGACATGTAGCTTTGTGTAAACAAGTTATTGAAACCAACACAAAATGGCTATCAATGTTCATTATGTAGAATTATATATTTACGTTTACTTAATATTCATAAATTCATGTACTTATATTTGTAGCTGTTCAGCTGGACTTAATATTGTTCTGTCCATATACTCTGCTCCGGTGTTTAAGCATTATTTTATAGTTTATATTTGTTAATTGTCCCTTATACATGTTTTACTTTACTAGAATTTGCCAATAAGATGTTTATATCTTGGGTAATAAAGCATATTTTGATTTGATTTGATAGAATACTAGTCCAACCGAGGAAGCTACAGTTGTAGTGAAACGCATATTGGAAATAAATTCTATATTATGAAAATTTGTAATTATTGTCATGAATATAGGATCTTTCTCTGAATTTAAAAATAATTATATTTCAGGTACAGAGCAGCTCTAGATGAAATACTCAAAGGAAGTGATTCTGAATTAGTTGAATGTTTACAGACATTCATCGAAGCAAGTAATTATATTCATTTCAAAAACTATACTAACATGTACCAACTATTAATTTTTTTTCAGTTGTTAATGAAAATGTCAGCTTAGTTATATCTCGCCAAGTATTAACAGAAATCAGCGCGCATCTCATGAAATTACCTGATGATGTATCGAAAGCCGTGTCCCACTATATGTTAGAGAAAGTTCAGCCAAGGGTAATATCATTTGAAGAACAAGTGGCTAGCATTCGCCAACACTTGGCAGATATATATGAACGTAACCAGATGTGGAAAGATGCGGCCATCGTATTGGTTGGAATCCCTTTGGAAACAGGTCAAAAGCAGTATACTGTGGATTATAAGCTCGAAACATACCTGAAAATTGCCAGATTATACCTGGAAAATGATGATCCTGTTCAGGCAGAATCATTTATAAATAGAGCTTCGCTTTTGCAGGCCGAATCACGAAACGAACAGCTACAAATTTATTATAAAGTTTGTTACGCGAGGGTTTTGGATTATCGTAGAAAGTTCATTGAGGCGGCTCAACGATACAATGAGTTGTCTTACAGAAGCATAGTTCATGATGATGAAAGGATGACCGCACTTCGAAATGCCCTAGTCTGCACCGTATTGGCATCTGCAGGCCAGCAACGGTCTAGAATGCTGGCTACACTCTTCAAAGATGAACGCTGTCAGCAGTTACCAGCTGTAGCAGTTTTGGAAAAAATGTACTTGGAGAGAATCATTCGAAGGTTTGTATCGCCCTAAGATAATAAGTTACTGTTGACAAACGTTTTTCAGTGTGTCAAAGGCAAAATTAAGGTAATCATTAAAATTTTATCTATATAAAATAGAGTGTACATAGCGAATGTTTTCACTGTGGTATTCCTCTCGATATTGTACCTTTGTTTACTCAAGGGGAACGTAGTACGCCTATGAACAAGAAAACATCAATATACAATTCAAAAATAGGACTTGCACAATTCAAATTAAAATGGTTCAGTATTAAATAATACATATCAATAGACTTCAATTCATCAACACATCAAATAAATGAATGAAAACTGTCATTTAATATATTTTAAAGTTGTTTGTATACCTAAATGAAGCTAACCTTCTAAAGACACAGCTATCGGACTATTAGTTTGTGGGATAGAACATTTTGAGTGAAGCAACTTTTGTTGGTTTGAAGAAAATGTATAAAAATAAATTTCGTGTGTTAATAAAGCTTTGCTTTTTGACGAAAAAAAAATATTTTGAAGCCATGGCTTGGGTTGATAAAACATTATTCGGACGAGGTGAATTGAGCACCGAGGACGATGCACGCAGTGGATGCCCCGAAGAGGCTGTTACCGACGAAAACATAAAAAAGTCCACAAAATAATCTTGGACGGCCGCAAAAACAAGTTGATCGGGATAGCTGAGGCTCTAAAGATATCATATCGTGCACGAATATTAGGGGTGCCAAACGAGCTCATAATATATCAAAAACATTAACGAATTGATAATTCTGAGCAGTGTTTGAAGCTGTCCCACCATGAAAAACCCCAAATTTATGCGTTGATATGTGTCAATGGATGGAACATGGCTCCATTTTTTCACACCAGAATCAAAACGATCGTCATCTGAGTGGACTGCACGTGGTGAACCGACTCCAAAGAGTGCAAAGATGCAACAGTCAGCTGGCAAAGTTATGGTATCAGTATTTTGGGATGCGTATGGTATAATATTCATAGACTATCTTAAAAAGGAAAAAAAACATTAACAGCGACTATTACATCGTTTGAAGGACGAAATCACGGAAATACGGTCCCATACGAAGAAAAAGACAGTGCTATTTAATCAAGACAATGCACCTTGTTACAAATCAATGAAAACAATGGCAAACTTGCATAAATAGGCCTTCGAATTGCTTCCGCCTCCACCGTATTCTCCAGATCTGGCCCCCAGCGACTTTTTCCTGTTGTCAGACCTCAAGAGAATGGAAAGAAATTCAGTGCCGATGAAGGATTTAATCGTCGAAACTGAGGCCTATTTTGAGGCTAGACACAAATCTTAATATAAAAATGGTATCGAAATATTGTATGCCCCAAACGCAAATATATTGAATCATAAATGAAAGGAACGTTAACGTTTT